GCTCAATGTTTAAAGATGATCTGAGGGAGGTAACGCTGTCTCAGACTCGCGAGCCTCGTATGAGGCGACAGCTAAATGTGAGTTGTGGGTATTCACAAATTTGATTTGGGAGAGTGTAACGGGGTTACACGTACCCTTTCATACAAGGGTGGGTTACACAAGATGGTGTGATCGTACAGAGGTGTAGATTACACAAATCGGTGAAATCACACGACAGTGTGGCCACATCGCAACATGAAGCCACTACGTGGCGGGACTGTCAGAATTATGCATATTAATTTGGTTTTACTATTTTACTGGAAAAACCTATTGTATTAGATATAGGCGTCTTTGCCGCAAATAAAACAGGAAAATATTGTCTGGAATTCTGAGCGGAAGAGTATATTTGCCTTATGTTAAGGTTTTAGATACTCTTGGAGGCAGCGGATTGCGATTCGCTACACTCGAACTGGTTCTAGTATATAAAGTAAGGTCAGTGACCTTAGCTTAACTTCCTTTAAGCAAAGAGGTACTGCAGCTCCGCTGCACTAGTATGACAGGTACAGTCCTTATGTAGTGTACAAGTTTTAATTAGGCGTGTCGAGTCTCGAGAGAATTGCAGACCCATTAAGTTCTCTCTATGCGACTCGTCCAACTTACGTTTTGTTTCTTGGGTAAAAAACCTTTCACACGGTGTCAAGCGCGCCTTCCGATGAGTTTTATTCAAAACCTTAACCTGATTTTGTCTAAAGCAGCATTGGCAAAAGTGGCTGAGAATCTTACGTCTGCAGATGTGCAAGCATGGCGCACTGAAACCGGTTCTGCGCATGATGAAATGATTTGGACGTCGTTATGAGCTTCGCGGCGGGGTGCAGGAACACATTTCTTCGTAAAAACGAGCATGAAAAGTGCTTCTTGTGCAGCGAGGCGAAGCGTAGTGAAGGCCTATCCTCGAGAAATTCCCGTAGATGGGGAACGGCTTAGCGATTTTGTTTTTGGTGAGGACATTGTTCGATTGAAGCATTCCTTTGCAATGAAAGTATTTGATAAAGAAATTTCATGTACTCGAACGTTTGAAATGATGCGCCAATGTATTTTAAAGGCGTCTTGTGTAATGTGATGACCATAATGATAACCCACAATCTTGCTTCAAATTAATTTAACGAACTGAGTACGTAAAAATGGTCCGACGTGTGCGCAACGTAAAGATACCATCCTTGATTTGCTTAACCTTTGGGTCTGATGACTTGTAGAAACCAATTCAAAAAGCAAGTATATGGCTAATCTCGATTATTGATCATCGGATCAATTACTGTTGGATACTAGCAGAGATCCGGCGAAGATAAGCTATAGCATTACCTTGCGCTCTCAAAAATTATACAACAACAGTGTTCACGTTTTGGGTTGTGACCATACAATTTTTGGGTATGGCTTGAGAAGTGGTATTTTCTTGTACCGTAATATTTTTATGAGAGGTGCTAAATAATATAAGTTAAAGAATGATTAAAAAAGGCTGTGACGATTAGGGTCTAGGGACATTGCAGGAATATTTACAGTTTATTTGATATTCAAAATTTGCGCCTGCAATACTCATTAAGAAGATGACAGTGTGAAAGGAATACATGATCTATTCTCCAAATGAGAAAGCTGTAGTCGTCATACAGGAATGTCAAAAATATCAAATACGCTGACGGACAAAAAGATGTTCAGCGATGCTGTGACTCTGGTGGAGTACGATGAGGATTGGGCGAGAATACAGCAAGAAAGTCGAATCGAAAGCATTGAGTTCAGGTGGGATCGAGGTGGGCATGAAAGACGATCACAAGTTCCAGAAGCCAATACTTCTGAACAAAACCGTCCTGAGTCCAACTGCGGTGAGTCTGGCCTCGCAGATGAAAAATTGGACCGATGCGGTACCTGTAAATTGAAGCCAACCGAATTTGGTTGATCTGTGTGTGTTTTTTAGATGCAAGATCGACCAGCGTGGAGCATATTTAAGGCGGACCTCTTTGCAAAATTCTAAGAAGTCGAGTCTGTATTTAGATCAAAACTAGTCACTTGTATCTTATATTTGGTAACTAAAAATTTTTTGCGCTCTAAGTTTCAAGCTAAGAAAGATTTAATTTGTATCGAGAGTTACAGCCAAACATAATCAGTTGCAGCGTAAAGTGTCATACTACATAAATTTGGTAAATCTTTGTTGGTCAATGGATTTCCACTTTTCGGTTGTATGACCACAATCATGAAATGATATTTCTCCGATTGCTTAAAGTTTTTGATGAGGGAAAACAAAGCTTGAAGGATTCCAGACCATTCGAACCCGGCAAAAGATTTTGCCCTAGCCGAATTTCTCCTTTGCATCAAGCAGCAAGTATTCGTGTCACGATCATCATCTTGCGTGAGGCTAAATACTCAAAGCCCTACTTTTGTTTAGAATTTTTTTTTGCGATTCTTAAAATGGCAAATTACGCACGAATCAATGACTATCTTTTCTGTGCGATAAATATTTTCATACTTGCTACTTACCATTATACTTAAATACGTAACTGTTCGAAGACAAATGACAAAAGAAGTAGGGATGAATTTTGCCAATTGTTGAAAGTCGTAAACCAGCTGAAAGGAGCTGCTCCCCATGACAGTAAGAAAAAAATGCTCGACACGTTAAAAATCATCGGCTGCAACCCGAGCAAAATGTCATCACGGCTAGCATAACAAATGTCCCAAACGCTTGACTTCTTTTGTAGCTGCTTGAGGTTGAGAAAGTTCGTCTCGATTTGATGGAAACCCAAGTCTCTTGCATCCGAGTGTTTTCTGCCGTTTGAAATTCTATAAAGCATTCAACAAAGCAACGGTGCAGTGCAAAGTCGCAGTCGACAAGGTTAAGCACGAAATAACGATATTGCAATGGAAGATTCAGATCGATTCTCTGTGAAGCGTCCTCATATTACGTTGTATCAAAATGAAAATGACATTGAGTTCTATACTCTTCAAACACCAATGACCACATTTACCGAACTTTTAAATGCTGCGCAATGTGTTGAAAGAAATACTCTTACTACAAAGGGAGATACAATCTTAACTGTTGATGCTTCTTTGATTCGACGTCGACTTCGAAATCGTATGTCTTGCCGTAAAACTCGACTCAAACAAAAACTTCAGCAGCATGCACTTGAAATTGTTCTACGTGAACGTCAAGAACGACATGATTATCTTACGCATCTGGCACAAGAGCTTGGAGTATTTCATAATAATGGAAACAGGCGAATGGTTGACAATGATCAATGTGATAAAGTCTTTCGTGATCTCACTGCAAAAAGTCTGCACTATTCGCTTGTGGATCCGGACTGTCTTGGGTGGAATCAGAATGGCGTTTTGTTTGCACACACAAACACGACGCATGACTGCAATGAAACTGCTGCAGTCCCATCAACAAGAAAATCAAAGCGACAACGTCGTAATCGTGACAAACATGTTTCAACAGCATTTCATAGCAAATTAGGACTCGCTCAGAATTTGGTTTTTGAGCAGTGGCGATCGATTGTTGATGGGCTACAAAATATAAATTTAACATTACAGCAAATGCATGAAACGGAATCCAAAGCTGGCGTATTTAATCGACAATGCTACTGGAAATTTGTGGCAGTGAGCTCAGCAAAATTACAACAAGATGGCGAAATTGAAGCTGTTGCTGTCTCCGGAGTCACGCACCTAGTATTTCACGGTCGTGACGTGCAGCAGCTTACAATTATCAGCCTCCAACGCAAAAATCTTGATCAATTTGACCTTGCAGCAACACCGACAACATCAACTCTTGTCGTTAAAGCAACAGAATAGACTATTTCACAAAATTACCTCCACAAACCTCGAAAGCACCAAATGTTAATTAAATTATTCAATAAATATTGAAGTCACATGGCAAGAAATCTTCATCTCATGATATTATACGTTATATTTTAGCTTCGTGGATTTTGTGGACAGAATTCTTCCAGCAAATGACGTCGCCAGCCTTT